TGATTTCAGTGAAACTACTAAGAAGTTTTAGAAAGTCCCCAATATTCTTTTTCACTCTCCGTTTTACCTTTTAAGAAGGAAAATTATTGATTTGGAAAAAGAAATTGGCTTCAGTTGGGCCCCCTACCCCACGAGCCTAAAGGGCTATTGGAGAGTTGGAGATCACATTCCCACCAAAGACTCAGTTTTGCAACATGGAGATCCCAGTGCCATCCAAATAGATATGGTGCCTGTGAGAACAGGAACTGCAAGGGATCAAAGCCATCTTGTTCTGTAATGAGAGGGGTCACGGCAAAGGGTGAGTAGATTTGGAGGCACTTTTTAGATGCAAAAAGAGCTTCTGTCCATTTCAGTCTCCCAGGTACGGCTCTCCGAACTGGCTGCCGTTTAGCTGAGCCTCTGCCACCTCGAGAGTACAGGATCAGGCCAGGGCAAGTGTTTGTCAGTGAGGTAAAGCCACTAAAAGACACAGAACCAATTCTCTACTAGTAAACTGCAAGAGCAGGGAATGTTGTCTATTTGCTAATTTTTGCATCCCCAGAGCCCAGTACAGGGCCTGGTCTATAGTTGATGCTCACTATATATTTATAGTTAGAAGGGTTACCATATTGGGAAGCCAGGGTTTTATTCAAGAAATATTCTCTGCAGATATGGAGAAAAAAGAACCCTCGAACGTCATTGGCAGGAAGGTAAATTGGTATACCCATCATGTATACTTCCACACCGTGGAAGTTCCTCAAAACATTAAAAATAGAATTATCCTATGACCCACAGTCTATCACCCAGTGTCTCAAACACATCTGCTTCTCCATGTTCCCTGCAACACTATTCACCACACCATGAGGCCAGGTTCCAAAAAATTAGCTTATGGGGCATGACAATAGAATCCCACAGATTAGATGGTTTAAACAAGAGAAATGGATTCTCTCATAGTTCTGGAAGCTGGAAGTCCAGAATTAATGTTGTCAGGATGGCTGGCTCCCTCCCAGTCCCCTTCCTAATTTGCAAATGGTACCTTCTGTATGCCCACATGGTCTTTTCTCTGTGTGCATATCCCTTGCAAATGTGTGTCCTAATTTCTTCTTTTTATAAGGATATGTTTTAGCCAGCTTTTTCATCACTGTGACCAAAAGACCTGACAAGAACAATGTATAGGAGAAAAAGGTTTATTTTGGCTCCTGGTTTCAGAGGTCTCAATCCATGGATTGTCAACTCCATTGCTTTGGGCCCAAAATGAGGCCAAACGTCAAGACAGAAGGGTGTGGCAGAAGAAAGGAGCTCAGGACATGGCAACAGGAAGCAGAGAGAGAGAGAGAGAGAGAGAGAGAGAGAGAGAGCTCCATTCACCAAGGACAAAATATAAACCCCAAAGTCACAGTGACCCACTTCCTCCAGCCACACCCTACCTGCCTGTGATTACCACTCAGTTAATCCATATCGGTGGATTAATTCACTGATGAGGTGGCACCCTGGTAATCTAATCATTTCACTTCTGAAAATTCTTGCATTGTCCCACATGAGTTTGTGGGGGACACCACACATGCAAACCATAACAGGATACCAGTCATATTGGATTAGGCCCCACCCTAAAGGTCTCATTTTAACTTAGTTACTTTCTTTAAGACTCTATCTCCAAATACAGTCACGTTCTGAGGTACTGGGGGGTTAGTACTTCAACTGTGTCCTTGGGAGGACACAGTTAAACCCCTACACAGCCCTAGCTATTTCCTAATAATTGGGTAGGACTTTAACATGTGAATTTGGGTCGGACATTATTCAGTCCATATCATCCAATGTAACTTTGTATACTAAAATAAACATGGGCTAGATTTGTCCTTCAAGCTAAATGTTGCTGGCTTGGAGCACTTAAGAAAAGAAAAGCAAAGACAAAAGAAGCCAAATGACTTGCCCAAGATCATGTGGTATGAGGCAAAACTAGGACTAGGGCCCAGGGAACACTTGTCACCCCCCACAGTATGCTTCAGTGACGTTGCAGGCAAGGCCATCAGTAGTCAGGCAGAGGGCCATTAACAAAGAAGCAGCAGATGAGTGTTCCTGGGGAGAAGCTAAGGGCCAAGGCAAGCAGCACTTTCCAGAACTCCCCATCTAGGCTTTATGCAAAACAGCATTTTCATGGTGACCTGAAAGTGGGAAGAGTTTCCTGCCTCTGACTTCTTCACCTATGAATTTATAACACTTGCAGCTGTATTAGTCCACTGTCCATTGCCATAACAAAATGCCTGAGGCCAGTGCTTTATAAAGAAGACAGATTTATTTAGCCCACAGTCTTAGAAGCTGAAAGTTCAAGATTGGGAAGCTCCATCAATTCAGCCTCTGATAAAGACCACATGGCAAATGATATCACAATGGCAGGAGCAATGATCTGGTGAAACACAAAACAAAAGTGGGACCAGGGGACAGGCCTACTTTTTTATAACAACTTGCTCTTGCAACCAACTCAGGGTCCCTCGAGAGCTACATTAATCTTTTCCAAGGGCATGCCCCCAGTGATCTAATTACTTTCCACCAGGCCTCACCTCTTAAAAGTTTTATCACCTCTTAATACCTCCACATTGGGGACCAAACTTCTAACACGTAACCCCCTGGGGACACATTCAAACCATATCCACACCTCGGCAGCAGCCATCTGCATGACACTTCCTCCTGCAGCCCTGTGGTCCTCCTGTCTGAAGCTCCCTCCTTCTTCCCACGCCCCGGACTCCTGGGCAGGGACCTCTCTCCATCACTGATCAGCTCTCTCTCAATCTCTCTCTCTCTCTCTCTTTCTTCCCTTCAATATTTTTTCTCCTTGGAAAAGTTTTAGCTCCATAAATACAAATGTTCAAAGACCTCCCATCTCAAAATGCTCTTCTTCTGTCCTAAGCCACCCACTTCTAGACACAGGCATTCCAGCTCCCACTGCCAACATTCTGCTACAGACTCAAAAAATCACACTTGCAGGATCGCTCTTGATCCTTCTGCTGCTAAATTGAATGGCCTTTGGGTCTCTGCTGGTGTCTACCACTGTGGACCACTGTCCTCTGATTTTCCTGCTTTCTCCTGTCCTTTCTTTCCCAGTGTCCCCTGCCCCCTGCTCTGGCCTGTGAGCTCCTGGGGTCAGGAGCTTCCTCGTGAGCTCACCACTGCATAACCAGCAGCAACAGCAGCTCCTAGAACGCTGTGATAAAGCCCCCAGCAATCACTCAGCTCCGAAGTGAAGTCCCCAAGATTCTATTCATGGCCCTCTTTCCACCCCTCTTCAATTCTAGAGGCAATCACGTGCCTCTCAGGGTTTTCATTTCTTTTTAGAAGCTGGTCTCTGTTCTAGAACTGTCCCTTGATTTCCATTATATCCACCCACTCAGACGTTCAATTAGCATATACCTTCTGTCATATATACTCAACCACTCCCACTGCTTGTAGGGTAAACTCTCTGCTATGGTTGAACTGTGTTCCCGCAAAAGATCTGTGGAAGTCCTAAGCACTGGTATCTACAAATATGACCTGATTTGGAAAAGAGTCTTTGCAGATATAATCAAGCTACAATGGGGTAATTAGAGGCATTGGCCCTAACCCAATAGGACTGTATCCTTATTAAAAATGGGAAAGTGGACAGACTTACAGGGAAAATGTTGTGTGAAGACAGAGATGAAGAAGGAAGACAGTTGTGGGACATGAAGGCAGGCAATGGGGCCACAAGCCAGGGCTATCAGAAGTCAGAAGAGACAAGAAAGTGTCCCCCAGAGGCTTCAGAACAAACCAACAAGCCAGCACCTCATTAGACCTTCAGACTCCAGAACTGTGAAAAAATACATTTTTCTTGTTTTAAGCCACCTGGTTTGTGGATAATTTGTTATAGCAACTCTAAGACACTGATACACTTTATTCTGGAAGTCAAAGCCACAAAAAATTAAAAGCAAAATAAAAAGCCTGATTACAAACTTTATTTCTCATTAGTCCCCAATTATTCTTCTTCACTTCGGTTCCATAAAAAATGTCAGTGTCCCATACACCTGCCAATCTTCCACTTGCACTTGCAGTTTTACTCATATTGGGCTCCATCAATCAATATCCAACTTGAATCAATCCTTTAATAACGTACTTACCAATGCATTCTATATTTATAGAATGGACCTTCTGCATGTCCAGTTTTTTTGTTTTTGTTTTTGTTTTTTTGGGTTTTGTTTTTTGTTTTTGTTTTTGTTGTTGTTGTTGTTGTTGTTCCCATAAAGCTACTGACTCCAATAATTCTGAACTCTGACTTCTTACTTTATTTACTTCCAGAGAAGTGAATAAAGTCTCCTTAAAGCCACTACAAGACTAACATTATTCCTTTTGCATCTTTCAGGGTCATGTTAGATATTCAGAAAAGAAAGAATATAGAAATTGGGAAGTTTAGGAATTTGAAAGTAAGAGTAGCTGGGTCTGCTTTTCCTCCTAGGGGCTACCACTTATTGAGTGCTTACTATCTACCAGACATGATAAATTTATTATCTCTGTTAATCTTCCCAACCATCTTGGTAGACAGATCACTGTCGTTTTTCTCCTTATTTTGCAGATGAGGAAACAACAGCTTTGGAGAAATTATCACAAGTCCAAGTAAGTTGTGGAAATGAAGAGTAAAGCCTCAGACTAGCTGCAAATCCAGTGCTGTAATAACTTGCTGCTTTGCTTGGGGTGGGAGTGGGGGGTCCTGATCTGTTAAGGAAAGGAGTAAAATTTAAGTTTTCCTCTTCCCGCTCCCTCACCTCCTTTGTAGGACTCAAGTTTGATAACTGTTAAATAAATGATCTGTGGCTCAAGCCATGTCTGCACTATTGTTGAAAAGTGTTCTCAAGAGAAGGGACTGGGTTAAGTAATCAAGCAAAGGCTTTGGTGATGAAGGAAGGTTATAGGGAACATACAGGACACAAGGGAGATAAGAGGCTATAGTGTCACCTCAGTAAATAGTGTCACTTGGACCCAGGCAGGACCACACTTACCTAGATGGCCATCAATTCTGTCTTCAAAATTTCCACATATCAAATCCATGGCTTGCTCTAGAAACTAACCCCAGTCCTGTGTTGTGTGTATGATGAGGATCTTCTTAATATTCTAGTAAAATAATATGCAGATGTTGACTATGGTATCCATGGTTATGTTTAGGCCAAAAGACCAATAATGGATGAGATTCTGGGTTCCTCAAAAATCAGCAATTCCATCATTTCATAAGACAATCGATCTGCCCTCGGTGAAATACACATGCCCAATTTCCCAGTGCTTGCTTTTGGGCACATCTTGGGGCATAGACTGTTGCTCACTATGTGTTTCTGTCAGGATCTGGTGGTGTTATACATATTGGTTCAGGTACACTTATTAACTAGCAATTTCTGTATGCTCTATTCTATCTCCTCCATCTTGTAGTACAGAACCATATTAGGCAGCTTTCCTAAAAAGAAGAGAAAGAAAAAAAAAAAAAAAAAAGCTGGTCTGAGATGGTTTAGGATTAAATGAGAAGTTGTAAAATAAGGTTTAAACATCAAGAATTCCCTCAAGTGGGATGTCAGTTAACATATGAAGGTGTCATTTGATGGTCAAAAGCAAGAGAACCTTCTTCTAGACATCAGTTACTCACCCAAATCTAAGAAAGATGTCAGCTATCAAATTCACCTGCTCATTCCTCTCCTCACACCCTATGCTGTAGTTACATTTTCTGTTTTCTGAGAAAACCTGAAGAGCTGGTCTGCTATTTCTTGGCCAGTACAGCTCTGTGCATCCTGCCAAGACCAGCTCAAATGTCGCCTCCTCCTGGAAGCCTTCTCTCATTCCCCAACCTAGGCCATGATGCTTCTCCAAACATACCTCTCACTCCTGCAGGGCCTTGCTTGTATCTCTTTCACATCCTACAAAAAAATGTTCTTTAATTAATGGTTCTAAGCAGGTTGCCCTCTATGCTAAGCTGTGATCAGCTGAAGAGCAGATGCTGTTTTCTCACTCTGGTCTCCTGAGTGCCTACCACATCCCCGACACATAACCAAAGTTAATGACTAAATCCATTCCATCCTGATCCTTAGCACTTAGATCTGCAGAGTAGACATCTCCATGAAGTGGCCAGACTGAATAAATATACTTACTTCACCAAGAACACATACGGCATGGCTTTCCCCTCAAGAGTTAGGAAAAAAACGGTTTGACCAGTTCAGACCCAGGAGAAAAGTGATCAAAGGTCACAGAGCAAAGTGGTGAGCCAGCCACAAGGAATCCCACCTTCTGCTCTTACCAAACCACATCAGAACAGGATTCTGAACCTCCTGGCTAAATGGGTGGGCCAGGAGGCGCTTGGCTCCTGAATCTGCGTCAGGGATGGGAGCAGGCAGAGACAGCCCCCGCCCTCAGCCCGCGGAAAGTACCCTTGGGGTGTGAATCATGAGTCTCTGCAGCAGCTGAAGGCTCCTACGGCACATACCCAGCTCTTGGAGACATCTCATGAAACCCCTCCTGTCTGATGAAGAGCATTAGTGCCAATGCAGTTTTGTGGCCACAAACAAGAAACTGCAAGGAAAAAAAAAAATGTAAAATGGAACAGGCCTGGGAAATTGGGCCTCGTAAGAGTTGTGGTTAGAACTTAACCACATGTTCATTTACCTGTTTCTAGGGCAGCAAAGACTGGATTTTATAAAAATATAGATAGCTGCCATTATAAATCATGTCGACAACCAGACCAAACCTTTTTTAAACACTTTGTTTTAAGCCGGTGCTTCGGATATATCATTTTAACGTGAAAAACGGATGTATTTACAGATCAAAATGGATCTTTTAATTTCTACTTCTCAAGTGGCAGATCTCAAAGGATCTTTAATCTCATGAGTTTAGGCAAGCAATCAATATTGAAAGCTAAGTTTATAATAACTCCACAAACTTTGATTTAAAGAGAGAGCATAAATTATCCATTATTAAAATTATAGTAGCATATCTAATATTAAATCAAATAAATCACTATTTTTAAATTGTTAATAGTCAACTAAGTAAATATCAATGGTTAACAGATAATTAGCTATCTCCATTATGCTTAAAACTTTACCTACCAAAATCAACCTTTTTTTTTTATGCTAAATGTACTTATTTTTCTTCCCAAATTGAAAAAAAAAAAATAGTTGAGGGGAAGAGAGAAAAATACATAGTTTTATTTTGCTTCTGAAATTACTTTTTTTGGTCTTAATTGTAGAAATTAGTTTCAATAAGCACAGTTTTATAGTGATTTTCCTCTGCATTCCTGAAGATTCTCAGAGGTAGTATGTTTTGGGATTCAATTTCAGATTACCTGAAAATATTCCCACTTCCTAAATTTATCATCAACTTGCTGGAGATTACCAGACAATATTTTTAGTTTATCAAACTAGTTAATATAGTTTTAAGAAACAAACAGAATAAGGGATGAAACTATCCGGGGAATCATGTATTTCCTTACTCAATCTTTGCTTTATGTGTTTGCTTATTTTTGTTGATGGTGGGTTTCTTCCCCCTCTCTTAGGCTCATGAAAATGAAAGTAACAATTGTGTTTTTTGGCTGAAGATGGATAAAGAGAAGCAATGAATGGAAGTCACAAGGCTGACAATTATGGAGGTTCCATAAATAATAACTTTCTAAAAACTGATCCCTGAGAATGTGGGGCCAACACAGTTCTGCTCAGGCCCCAGGTTCCTGAACTGGCTATGGATAAAAGGTAGGATCCAGGTGACCTATTGAAGATGTCTCCTTTGAAAGCTAATACCATATGTAATGTAAGGGGCGCCAGCCATTTGCTGACATGAGTGTCTTTTCTGTCTTGAAAACCAAGTGGTAGAATTCTCTGCTGCCTGGTTTTCATCAGCCACTCACGGCTCTGCTCTCTGCTTTCTGGTTTCTACCTCCATGCTCCACTCCAAGTGCTCTTCCTATAGTCACAAAGGATCAGAGGCATGCAATGCTGCATATTCCGCCTGCAGAGCCTGACTCTGGCCACTCGTCGGTGTCACAAGTCTCCCTCACGATATCTTTCACATCTTTTTTTTCTTCTTTGTTTACTCTTCTTTGACTATCTCATCAACAGCTATGATTTGCATATTGATGACTCCCAAATTTATATCCCCAACACAAATCTCCTTTCTGAAGGCCAGAGTTTTATGACCCATTATTTCCAGCAGAAGATGGTATGGCTCCTCCAATTCAACATACTCAAGATGGAACTCATGTTCTTTCCTCTGAACTCTTGCTCCGGGGTTCCACTTCTCATCAACAGCTCCACCATATCCTTTGAGACCACCCAAGACCAGAAATCTATGAGTCATCTTTACCCCTTCCTCCTTCTCAATTCTAATGAGTCATTCATCAATCTATAGCCTAAATTAATCTACATCCATTCTAAGTTTTCTTTTCCTTTTTATTCAAGTTTTAGTCATGTTCTCATGTTTTCCCTTATCTAGGTAATTCTTCTAGGTAATACTTCTAATTAATACTTCTCAAACAGTCCATCAGCTCCAGTTTTAGGGGCATACAGTCGTGACCCCACCAATCCATCTGTCATACAGCCGTTGAACTGACGTGGCCATAGCACTTCTATAAATCTTTTTGTGATTTCTCATGGATTTTGGGAAGAGTTTTCATCATGTGGTCTGCAAACTGTTTCTATTTCTTTATTCCTCTTTCTAACTTGACTGTAAAAAACATGGAAACGTGAATCTTGTTCTAGTCATCTCTGTATTGCAGTGCCTAGCATCCGCCTTATACATTTAATAAATGTTAATTAAATACATGTTATTTCTTTTCTACCAGACTTCCCAAATGACTACAATCTACAGTTTATTTAGTCCTAATAAACAATCAAGCATGTAGATCAAGCATGGAGTGGCCTTCTACAGAGGGTTTTACTTTCATTAATTAATACAATCTCCCTTTACTGATAAGATCCTGCTAGCACGGAGAACAAGATCTCAGGAAATGAGACAGGTTGAGTGTCAATACAGGTAAACAGGTAGGGAATGGTTTCAATGGCAGGATGAGCCATTATTCAGAAAATATGACCTATAAACTGCAGTCCTGAGTCAACCAGGAACAAACGGGAACCTGAGTTTTAAATACTTCAATGCTTCCACTAATGACAGGAAAACAGGCCAAGGAGACAGAATTTGCCCAGGACTCTGCAGTAGGCTCCAGCCTTGCAGTTTCCCATAGGCATCCTTTTATGTCATGAGTTAACGTCTCTCCAGCACATTTAGAAAGGTCTTAATCACTTACCATCCTTACGAAAATTTAGAAAGTAGCCTTCAAACAGTTTCATGTATTCTGTCCACAGATGAGGAATCCTTGTGGAGGAAAAGTTTAAGGTAGAGAGGATTAAGGATAAGAATCAAATCTACAGGACTATTCATCAATTACCTATGGAAGGAAAGGAAATATGTAAATACAGATATATGTACAAATGCACATATTTATGTATATAGGGATGTATGCGGGTATATTTTTGTTTACCTCTGTGTGAATATATATTTGTATAGATACATAAACACTCAAAAAGGAACAGGATACTGACCATTAAGATAGCACCATATCCCTTCTCCTTTCCTAAGAATAATGAAAAATGCTAGGTAGTATCTGCCCTTGTTTGAAAAATGGCATTTCATATAACTGAACATCAGGGTTGAAAGCTAAAGAGTATGAGCCTGAGTGATACAGTGCTTTTCATCACTACTTTTATCAACTTTTGAGTAAGACCAATGAGCAGCCCCACCGGGGAAACAATGACACAGCTCTCCCCAGCACAAAGGACAAGATAGAAATCTGCCTGCATGCTCAGAAAGTACAAAGGGACAGAAGATCCTCCGGCTAAACTCTGAGTGTCCCATGCAAGACTTCCTGCTCCAGGCAAGAACTTGGAGACTTCCAGACTCCTTCAAGAACTTAGCTTCTTGCACAACATTTTTCTGCTCAAGGAAGAAATTCCTCCCTGACTCCAGGAGCCTTCACCTATGCCTTCAAGCTAGATAAGCGATTACCCTTATCATTATCTCAGTTTACCAAGCTACACTCCTTATCTGGGACTAGTCAGCAATATTTTTTTTCCATGCTGTCAAAATACCACACATTCTGGTTAACCACATAGAAAAGCCTTATGCCAATAGCATTTCATTCAGTTATAGAATATTTTTCTGGAGACCTTGGTGACAGATACTCTGTGTTCTGTGGCATGAAAAACTCATGAGTTGCCTCAGAAGAAACTTATTTGCCTGCCTCTTATGAGAATGGTTGAAAAAGAAAATGTCAATAATTAAAAACACATAAAACTGTGTCCTGTGCTTTATAGGTCGCTTTTAAAAGAAAAATTGCAATCAGACTGACACATAGAAGTTCGCCTGTCCCAAAAAGTCTTCATGCTAATGAATTGGGAATTTTAGTGTATACTGCATATGGATGTGTGTGTGTGTGTGTGTGTGTGTGTGTGTGTGTGTGTGTGTGTGTGTATGTGTTGAGGAGTTGGGAAGAGAGAATTAGTTATGCAAATCAGTACTGTAAATACCTAAAAAGGTAGACATCAACCTCAAAGTAGGCTTATTAGTAAGGGGCCCAGATTAAAATAAATTCAATGAAATCTAACCCCAAACACCATACCCCCATCTATCCTACCATACAAGAATTAGAGTGAAATTCTGTATGAACAATTTGGCAAATGCACTCATACAGACAATTTCTATGACATATAGACTCCCCATCCCCTAACAGATAAAGAAAACTGTCCCTCTGTTCTCTTAAAAATTCTTATACAAACATAAGCTCATTTGTGTTTCACTTGAGCATGAAACTCCCACAAACATACCAACAGAAAGCAAAAATAGACCCGTGTGTACTTTTCAGTTTGTGGTCTCCTCTAGGTTGAAATATAAAGAGAGAGTTAACAAAATGAATGACTACATTACACCTGAAGAAGATCGGGAAGCCAGATAACCTGCTGAAGTGTTTCTCTTTGACAGCCATTACAACACATGTACCTAGAAATATAATTCAGTCGGTTTTCAAGACACTTGTGCTGTCATTTGAATTACAGCCCTTAGCTTCAGGGCCCTGGAGAAAACCAACCTCTGGCCAGGATGAATGGGGATGGAGTGGTTCATCCCTGCCACTCACCGTGGGTAAATGGTAGAGCATAGATAGCTCTCCTTTGAACATTCTCAGATCTCCAAAGAGTTGCTATTACCACACCCTGGAAAAGATGACTATTGCATTTATTGCTACTTACAACTTTGTAGTTTGGAATGGCAAAGAGGAAGAAAGAAGCTTCTTTGTTCAGCTACTCTAGATTCTAGAGTAATTCACCGTTCTTATTATTGTGTATCAAGACAGTGGCAAATTCAAAGGCTGTCATTTATTTCACTAATGGAATTAAAAATTAATGTGGTCAGAGCAGTAATCAATGCCTTGCTTGTTGTGATGGATTATGGTTTGGCTAAATAGTATGACCTTTAATTATCTAAAAAAAAAAAAAAAAAAAGCAATTTTCCAAT